CCCTAGAATCTCTATAAATTGATACTCGATAAATTAATAATCTCTCTAAAATAATATTTTTTTCCCGATCCCGACTTGGATCAATGTAAAAAATTGTAAATTTTAATAAAATAATAAGATAATAATTTTTAGAAATGCCCCTTTTATAAATATATAATTCCATCAAAATCATAAATTATAATCCTCTAAAATTACAAATATAATTAAGGCAATTTAGTAAAATATGAATCTATTTTTTATCTTCATGAAATTCAAATCTAAATTGATTTCATCCTTAACTTTTCACATTGCATTCAAAAGCTCTGGTGTCATACTCTCAAGCGCAAAAAAAAAGTTGTGAAGAGTTGTGGCTGCCATTAGTGCTTCCTTTCGTGTGATTGATTCCAAAGGTATTGAATCATCAACTTCATCCTCTTCAAAATTTCAAATGACACTATCCACAATCTCTTGTGAGCTTTGGACCTCTAAACATCCATCATGTTCACCTAGGGTAATCTAATAAGTAATTGGCATTAATTTTGTTGTGGCAACCTAGATCCTTAATCATTTTCTCAGTTTCACAAATGCTTTCTTCAAAGCCACTTTATTAGAGTTACTTAAGGTTGCTTCATTCCTCGAACGAATTTTGTAATGTCGAAAACTATTTGCTATTGTCTCTTGTTGGACATTTACGTCCAAGATGATACTGCAAGAATGATGACATCTAAAAAAAAATCTTTTGTAGATCAGATTGTCCAATCTCAAAGTCTTCCAATATCTTCCGGTAAAATTGCTTGCGGTAATACATCTTGAATTTTCTTATTATTCCAGTGTCATATGGTTGGATTTGGATGCCATTAAAAAAAAAAAAAAAAAAAAAAAAAAAAAAAAAAAAAAAAAAAATAAACTCCACGTTTTGCAGTCCTTCTACTATGCATTTTCTGGTCTAGCCACAAACATATTCTTCAAAAAGCACACTAGTCATCCATGCTCTTTTATTGGTACGATGTTGAAAATTCAAGCAATTCATATTCACATTCTTAAAGCAACGTGGCTTTGCATACTTTCCAATTATCCATAGGGGAATTTTTTCTGAGTCATCCTCATTGCAACAGATAACAATTGTAAGTCTTTTTTTGTCTTGTTTTCTTTCTTCGAGTTTCTTTGTTGCAAGAGAATGATCATCTGTAACATGTAAACAAACCAGTGTCATCCATAACTGGTCTATTTTTTCCCCTATATACTCCAATTTATGCTCCTGTGTGTCAACCGAACCTATCTCCAAGACAACGAAATAACTTGATATACCATGTCTCAGCTTGAACTTCTCAAGCCAACCTAACAAAATTAGGGTTGTGCTCAGAAGGCTGTTGAGGGTATAAAAGTTTCATTGTCTCCTTTACCTTCTCCAAAATAAGCTCTCCAATAATATTTACACGGCCTTGGTATTGGAGAAACCATTCATGAATAACCTTTTTCATCTCTGCAAATTTAGCTGGTTTGTGCCGTTTAACATCCCAACTTTTTTCTAAGTTAGCTGAAAGATATTCAGCTGATCTCTTGATAGTGTTTGATTTTCTACCTTGACTAACTTTCAAATGATATTTTTCATCAAGTCATTGTTGTAATTCTTTGAATGATTGTGGGGTGATCTCTCCTATACTAACATAATGCTTTTCGTATTTGATCAATCATGATTGTTTTTTGGACCCCTTTTAAATGATACGCCATTGTTGGATAATTACACCCAACATGTAAACCTTAAAACATAAACTACATATTTATAGCTACTTAATAGTCGTTAACCAAGGAACCCTTTTCCTAATAAATTTTTTGCTCTAGTAACTGTAAATTTCTTTCCCAATTCAATTTAGGCTATTTTCTAACAAGTATACTTGCTCACCAAGTACAAACCACATTTGCCAAAATTTATATTTGCTAAATCGTGAAAGCACTCTTTAAATTAATAAATTATTAATTTATTGATTAATTAATATATCTCTAAGTTAATAAAACTTTGTGGTCCCACCATTATTAATTTATAGAAGTTTTATTGTATGAGGCAATCTAACTAATTAATGGGTTGACCATTATACTTTTCTTTTTTTTAAAAAAAAAAATGTATTTTTATAGTATAGAATGTCACAATTTATTTATGCCGATTTTTAGAATATGACGTTTAGGATTAAAGAATTCATATTTGTTCAAAAATATATATGTACTTTATAAATTAAGGTTAATTAAAAAGTTACTATTTGTTGTGTGCAAATGTCAATTTTATAAGTGTGTATTGTATAATCAGGATTAGGGATGGCAATGGGGACCCGATCCCCGATTACCCGTGGGGAATTCCTCTATTAGGGGATGGGGATGGGATGAAATCTTCCCCCATGGGGGTGCTAATGGGGAGAAAATCATCCCGACGGGTAAACGGGTATGGGGATGGGGAACCAATCCCCGTCCCCGTTTACCCGCTGGGACCCGTTAAGCTAGTATACATGCTAGTTATTCCAATATATTTATACATACACATGAATGATGATGTAATTACATGAGAATATATTAAATATGTAAACGTAATATCATATTATGTATGTAATGTGATAAATTGAAATCATATAATGTGATGTTATGCCACCTACATAGTATAAATAAATTACATATCAATAACAATTAGCGGGTATGGGGATCCCCGATGGGGATTTATCCCCACGGGTAATGGGGATGGGGAGAAAATCCTTCCCGAAAGCATAAATGGGGATCCCCATGGGGAGAAAATTCTCTCGCGGGGATGGGTATGGAGAGTCAATACCCGATGGGGAATTCCCCATTGCCATCACTAATCAGGATTCAAGTTTTGACCCAATACAATACTTCTCTAATTTCATTTCTTTCTTGATTTCTTATCCAACAACCCAAAAAATCATGTCTCTTTCAACTTATACGGTTTGATATGTATACTAAAATGAGCATAATATTTAGGAAAAAAAAAATAAAGTGGTATTTCATTTGAATAGAAAACATGTGTTGACCTTGATGAACATGTCATACATGAAGAAAAAAATAAACAACAATCATCACTCCATAGGGAAATATTATATAAGATTTTATCTCATTACAATGATATGATGAAAAACAAATGATGGTGTTTATTTAATAATACACATACTTCATAGTAAAATGACATATTTAAAAATATAATAAATTTTTATCATTAATAATATAAGTATATATTTTTATTTTTAAAAAATACGACTATATTATAGTATAATTGTTGGACCATCGATATGCACCTTAGGTTATATTTGGTAGACAAATAAGATAGCTTATAGCTTATTTGGTTATCTTATAAGTTCTCTGTATTCAAATAAGTATCGTTTGGTAGGACGAACTTTTTTTAAAAAGCTCGAACTTATATTTGATAAGCTTCTTTAGGTAGTTTTTCAAATAAGCTAGTTGAATTTTTTATCCATCTAGTTTATCAACTAATTTTACCGAACACTTTCCTGATTTAAGCTAGCTTTTCAGCTATAAGTCATAAGATATAAGCTATAAGCTCGAAAATTACTAATAAATCATAAACTAGCTTATCAGCTAGTTTTACTAAACATAGTCTTAGTATTAAATTATTATTGGATGTGTCTTCTTTGTGCTCCACATGTATACATCTAATGAAATACTTGAGAATATTATTAATTGAAAAAAGTTATTTTGGTATAATTTTTTAAAATAATTGGGTGATAAAAAATAATGTATATGTTTAGTTAATTTTAAAAATGATGTTTAATAGTTGTTGTATCAAATTTTATGTCATGTGATTCACACATTCCTTAATAAAATTAACTGAAATTGCTAATGATATATATGGTGTGAAATATTTTATGTTATGCATCCAATTTTACACTGAATTTTCACCATTGTGATTATTTATCCCTTTTTTAAAAGATTTTATTCCCTTTTATTTTATTCCTTCTTCAAGATTCTCCAAGATTTCTCATTACAAAAATTGGATCAATTATTAGTTGCTCACAAGTCATAACTACCCTTTCCATACATCAGTTTTATTTTATAAGGTGTGAAGTGGATTAGGCTGTGAGAGGGACAGTTATTAATTAATAATTAATAATTAATTGTTTAATCAAGGAAGTTAATAAGGTAGGGGCAGTTTAGTCTTTCTAACTGACGCAGAAATTATCCATGAAAAATAGAAACCTCTCTCTCTCTCTTCTGTGCACATCACCTCATACAGAGCAGACATTCAAACTCCCCACTAAAACAGTTTTGCTGTTCACCAATTGCCATCAGCCCACTAATTCAGAAAACATTTATTTTTTTTTTAAAAAAAAAAACAAGGTATTGAATTTGATGTTTATCTCATTCAGACATCAGTTTAATCTTGTGCTGCAGTAAATCTTTAGTTTCTTTGTTACCTTCATGAATTGATTGAACTCCCTCTTGTTTTGTTTTCAATTCAAGGTGTTTGGTCTGTTTTTTCTTGATGGGTTCTTGAAATTATTTGCTGCTGTTCTTTAAAAATTGGATCTTTGTGTGTGTGTGTGTGTGTGTGTGTGATTTTTGTTCTGTGCTTGTGTGTGTGTGTGTGTGTGTGTGTGTGATTTTTGTTCTGTTTGTTTGTGTGTGTGTGTGATTTTTGTTCTGTTTGTGCTTGTGTGTGTGTGTGTGTGATTTTTGTTCTGTTTGTGCTTGTGTGTGTGTGTGCGTGTGTGTGTGTGGGCAGAGAGCTTATTTGGTTATGACCCTTTTGTATTATTCATCTTTTTGGGTTGCTTTAATGGTGTTTGATGAATTGTGTGACTGAAAAACAGAGATTAACCAGCAAAAGGTTGAACTTTTTTGCCTTATGGAGCAATTTGTTTTGTTTGTTTTTGTTTTGTTTGTTTTTAAATGGACATTTACATATTTGCATATTGTTTTACTGTCTCTTTAAAGGGATTTTTATGGACATAGGGATTTTTCTTTCTTGATTTTTCTGTAGGACAGTTTATCTGAGAAAAAAAAAAATGGAGTCTGAAAATGGAATTCCAGTTGAAGATGAAAAGAAGGTCATCACTGAGAATCCTGATGAGGAAGGATCAACCCATGATGATCCACTTCCTGTCGAAAACGAAGCGTGTAAAGAATCGAAAACCGACAAAGAGAGTCAGAGCCCATCCGAGCCCAAAACTGTTCTTTCTCCAACCGTGTCGAAGGCCAAAACATCGAATCTTGAAAAAGTTTCCAATACCAGTGGCCCCAAGAACAGTAAACAGGCCAAGAATCAGTCTGCCTCGAAAGTATCGGTTGTGTTTGGCCGGAGCACGAAGAGGCCGAGCCTGGCTCAGAGCCTCTCTTTTCCAAGCCCAGGCAGCCGCCACTCGGATGTGATGAAAAGAAGCATCGAGGTTTACCCTTCTAAATTGGACATCAGGCAGTCTCAGAAAAACAGTTCGAAAATCGCGTCCCGAGGTTCGAACGGGAGTTCGAGCCCGAGAATAGGTTCGGTTGTCCGTGGCCCGTTTCCTGGGGTCAGTTCATCTACAGGAAAGCCAAATGGCAGGCGTGCAACTATATCTTCTATGCCGAGCCTTAAACAATCCTCGGTAGAAAAAGTAAAAATTCACTTCCTTTATCTCCTTTAGTTCTACTTTTGTACCTCTAACATTTTTACTTGTGTTTGTTTTGTGTGTTTTCAGTCGGGAAAATGCGAATCTGCTAGTGGAACCGGCACAGGCCCTGAAACTGATTTGTATGTATCTTTGTTAATGTTGATGTTGTGTTTATTTTCTATGTTAGGCAAATATGAATTGGAAAACCGACCCGGAGTGTTTGTTTCTTTTCTAAAAATAACATAAGGAGACTTTGAAAGTCTATTCCTTTTAAGGCTTTGTTGCTTGTGGTTATATGTGAGTTTTTGACAAACTTAATCACAAATGCAGAGTGGTCGCGAAAGAGTCTGAGCCGAGCAACAGTTCGTTGTCTGTTAAGGATGAGGATGCCCGATCGACTACTTCCTCGTACTAATCAATCCTTAAACACATTTTTCTTTTTCTTTTTTCTAACTTTGATTTTATGTTATGAAGAAATCTTAACAAATATTGTATTTTAATCGGAAATCTCACTCACAGGACTCAGCAGAGGGTTAATGTTACAACATTCTCCTTCAGGCTGGAGGAACGTGCTGAAAAGCGAAAAGAGGTACACGAATATTGTCTAAATATGAATGAATTATGTAATATTCTTGAATAAAATGTATCAATCATTGACATTATATACTTCGCACGTAAGTTTTTTTCGAAGATAGAACAGAAGGTACATGCCAAGGAAGTCGAGAAGAATAACATACAAGCAAAATCGAAGGTGCTTGGTATTTTTCACTCACATCACCACCAATATTTGCTCGATTTTGCCAAATATCGTTATTTTCATATTTTTTTGAATTTTTTATAATAGGAAAATCAAGAGGAGGAGATAAAGCAACTTAGGAAGAGCTTGACATTCAAAGCTACACCCTTGCCGAGCTTCTACAAAGAACCACCTCCGAAAGTCGAGCTAAAGAAGGTAAAGCCCTTTGCTTGTTAACATAAACCTACATTTAACTAGTGAATATACGTAAACCGTATGAAATTATTATAGATACCAACCACACGGCCAATTTCTCCCAAGCTCGGGAGGAACAAAAGCAATCCTGTTGATAACGTCGTGCCATGTGTCAGCCCACGAGTGAGTGATGACAGTAACTGCAAGTCACCGAAGACTCCTCGGGCACATTGTGCTGCCTTAAAGAAACCCGTCAAGAGCTCCTTATCCAAATCCCATGCTGGAGCGAAAACCGGGGCCCAAGAGAAGCAAACTCCTGAGCACGGAAATGTTGAAGACCGGCCCATTTGCCAACCTGAGTTCGTGGAGAAGAAAATTGAAGATGGGGTCGAAAAAAGTTTGTCTTTTTCTGATGGGTCGAATCTTGCTTCGAATGCGATGGCTGCCGGAGTTTCTGTTGAAGGTTGAATTATGACAATCACTTGCTTGATTCAAAAGAAATGGGAAACATGAAACGTCCTACCTTTTTTTTATATATTTTTTTTTTTTCTGTTGTGTTCCTATGTATAGTGTTGGTTGTATTTCTGGGTTTATAGTTATATGTTGTCTGAAGTGTTTGAAGGATGATCGTGGGTTAAGTTAAGTACCTTTTGATTATATTGGTTCGTATGATTTTCTTTGTTTTCTGGACATTATATTGGTTGTTTTGAAACAAAAAATATTGTAATCCTAAAATTGATTTAAAGGGGAGGAAAAATTATTTTTAGTGAAAAATAAGGAATTTTTTAAGGTATGAATCTACATGAGATAAAATGCAATAATTAAAGTTAATATAATTAGAAAATAGTAAAATAATGAATGTAAATTTTTGCTAATTATAGTAAAATAATGAATGTAAATTATTGCTGGTTAAAATTATACCAATTAATTTTATTGAAAATTTTGCAGTGATGATTAGTTTTTAATTTTTAATTACACTGAAAAATTTGCAGTGATGACTAGTTAAAATTATACCATATTTGGTTGAATTTTTTAATTATGTAGTTTTTTTTATAAAAAATATTAAATTATCCATCCCTAAAATTCAGAAATATTTGGCTGAAACTGCAAAATAAGTAGATTTTGAGGTCTGACCTAATTTCAGGAAAAAACAAAAAAAAAAAAAAAAAAAAAAAAAAAAAAAACTAATTTTGAAATTATTACAGAAGCAAATAGCTGAAAATGGGTACATCATGTAGGTTACTTCATACAATCTGGCAGAAACTTTATTCTATTAGGACTGAAAACAATAAAAAAAAATGCCAGACCTTGAATAGCAAATTAATCTAAAATAGCCATGCTGTTGTGTGGCTGTTTGGCCCAGCCCCATCCAACCATGTCTGGTGCACATGGACCCAAGTCAAACCTTCTGCAACACTCACACCCTTGGGCACACAAAACACGAAAACATCATTACAAATGCTGATGCAAGTCGAACTTAATAGACGATAAAAGTTGATTTGGCGGATGGATATTGACTCGCCGATCACAGTTTTGGACGATATTGCATTTCGAAACAGGTTAATGAATTGGTTTGTGTATTTTTTTTTCGGAGAGTATAACGTTTCGTTGCGCAAGACACTGCACTTTTCGTGTTAAATTTGGAAAGCATGTTATTTTACAGTACAAGACTAATACTTTTGTTGAAAGAAAAAGGCAAACCGGCAATGGGGTTTTTTTTGTGTACCTTTGAGCTTAGTAAAACAGTAGTCAGACAACACTGCCGTTCGTCACCTGGAGAACAAAGACGAAATGGTGTAATTTATTAATCTGAAAGAAAGGAAATCACTCTACATTTACGTCGATCCATACACAGGTCTCATAAAGCCTCACCAGATTGTTCCCATTTCTTGAATCTCACGAGCCACGAGTCCGAACCAATCTTGGCAGGCAAAACCTGATCCACCCAAACCCGAAAGTGCTGCCCTTGTTTGTCCCCATAGCATGTTTTTAGCGAGTTTACGGCTTCGTGAAGTGGTTTCTCTATTCCAGATGGGTGAACAAAAGTGCCAGATTCAGACTGCCAGAGGGATAAATAGAAAGTGAAACATATAGGCTGCAAAATACAATTCGAGCAGGCAGTCGAAAAAATTTCACGTTGGCCAATGATTATTGAAAAGCATACCAACCAGAAGTTGACACATGTCATCTCATGATAAGTCCAACTCAGTTCCCAGAGGTTTAAAGAGCAGATTGTTAAAGATTAAGCATGTAAAATGGATTTTTCCAAAGTTCAATAGGAAATGTCTTCAGGTTAATGGCATGTACGTAAATAGATCCAGCAGCCAAATTTACAAGAACAAAAAGATCCACATATAACAAAGATGAACGGAACAACTACAATACGCCAAATCATGTACATATAAGTCGAAGCTGTAAGAAACTCAACAGTTCAACCTCAACTTACACAGACAGATTTCAGGATGGCAAGATAAACCTCAGAATTCTCAGTCTCAGCATGTCTCCACCTCTCGAAAAACAAATAAAGCTTCACAACTTCGTAAGCCGGGTCAAAATTCTCCATCTTGGAATCGGATAAGTCCATGATGTCTCTAGGGGACGTGCTTGGGCCCAGGTTAAATTGACCGATGGCCTGTATAATACCAGCCGCGCATCTCTCGGTCGCATGAATTACTTTAGGATTATTTTTCGCATTTGCAGCATGCCACTGTAATAATTCTTCCTGTGCATTACTGACCTGTCAAAAGTTCAAAAAAAATCTTTGCTTAGAAACTCCATTCCATTAAGGCATTAAGTGGTTGAATTCCATCAACAAACGAGAAAATGAAACATAATATTGTTGGGATACTAACCATAACACCATATACGTTGGGAATACTGAACAGTTCAGCATCATTTCCCGAGTCGCCACAAACGAGGGTGTTAATCGGTAATTTACCAGTGTCCTTGAATTTTTTATGCAGATAGGCAAGTGCTTGCCCTTTGCCGGCACCTTGTGGCAAGATGTCGAGGTCCATCCCACCACTGTATATTATTTTCACATCCAACTGTAAATATAGTATATAGATCAGTGAGTACAGAGATCACCCAAAAAAAAAAAGCACTTGCTCATCGTCATAGAAAAAGGAGGAAAAAAAAGATCTATCATACCCCACGTTCTTCTAAGCGTACAGAGAGAGCTTTCATTATGTCGTGGGCCTTCTCTTTATTCACATAAAAGCTTACCTTATGTGGCCGTTGTTCAGTTTCCGACTGCATAACCCCAAGAACATGTCATATAATTCATATCATTAAGGGGAAGAAGAACATATTATAATTTCATGCATCAAAAGGCACTGTTCAGAATTCAGATCAAATGCCAAACAAGAGTACAAAAAGAGTCACAGAATATTCCTATAATGGTACCTGAAGAGTAAGTTCGGTAATTTTTTTTGTCTCTTCGCATACAACAGTCCTGTCCCATTTCTGATTTAAAAAATCGACCCAACCATTGTCCGGTTCCATTGAGTTACCATATGTAATTTCGGTTCCAACAGACATTATAGTTATGTCGGGGGTTAACATAGGCTTTTCTTTCCTCAACTCCTTGTAGAGAGTAGGTGACCTCCCAGTCGAGAACACTAATAAAGAATTATTCCGGTATTTGGACTCCCACAAGGCATTGAATCGAAGTAAAGATACATTCTCAGGGTCATGATGATCAACCTACAGGAGGTCAGTCACCGATCACAACTCGCAGACACAAACACAGAGAGAAAAGAAAATGAGAAGAAGATGATCACAACCCACCATTGTATGGTCAAGATCAGAGACAATCATGAGACGTGCATTACTAAGAAGCCGATCCATGGTTTCTGGAACGTCAGCTTCACTCTATCTCCATATAAGTACTGTGATAAATGATTAAGAAAAATGCTAAATAAGTAAATGATAACCTTAATCGGGTTTTTTCACGGGTCGAGAAGGAACAACGGTAGCTCAAGAAATTTCTGAGCATATATCAAGAAAATAAAACTAATTGGGCGTCTTTCCGGGTGAACTCAGGCTTCACAACTGACTGATTCCAATTACCACGATTAAGAGTACCATCTGACACAACAAGATTTAACTGATGCAAGCATCAAAAGGGAATGATTAAACGCCGGGTTTAATGATGAAAATTTGTCCATTTCAAATCCCAAACGGAGATTTATTACACTCGATGATCATGGGCAGGCAATAAAACGAACAAATACAAAAAGCCCAGAAACAATTAGGTCAGAATCGTAGATTTTAGATTAAGCAACTTTTGTCTTTCAGCACTTAGCACAGAAAATTAACGATCTAATGGGAAAAAATTCACCACACAGCAAACAATATCACTCATCAGATAAGAATTATAATCCTTGATTATGAATTTTCTTGAAAAAATCACCAGCAACCGTTTTGAAACCTCCCGGCCAAAAGATTCGATTCCACAGATGCATAAATGTAAGAACATACGCATGAAGGGGCAAATCGTACCTGAGAAATAGCAATGGCGGTGGCCGGTGGTGGTGGAAAGAAGAGTGTCAGCTCAGATGAAGAAGGGAGAATATGATAAAGAATTAAGGAAAAATGAATCAAAAATCAAAATGAATATGCCATTATTAATGCCTTTCCCAATGTTCGATTTGGATAACTAGTTTGGGGGAAATGCATCTTTTTTTTTTGTTTTATTTTTATTTTTTTGAAATTTTTATACTTTAGCGTAAAGGTAAAAGGTACTTTTTCCCGAGTCGAGTAAGTCAAATTGAGTTGAGTTGAGCAATTACTATTAGAGTTTGCTTGTTAATGTTAAATAATCGAGTCGATTCGATTAGACTTGTCTTATAAACGAGTTAAAAAGTTCTACTCGTTTAAGTTTGTAAAAATCTCGAATTGACTCGACTGGTTTTACAAATACAAATTTTGTGAACAATTAGTAAACACGATTGTGCATGTACGACACGGCTATTCGTTCGAACTCTATTAAGAAAATCAAACGAGTTGCCTACGCGAACGAGTTTAGCTCCAACTGTGTTCGTGAACAGTTCAATTGACAACGGCGCTCGCGGCAAACATTTATTTCATTTGGAGTGCGAGAAATGGGTTGAGTTTTGAAAACAAATCTCAACTTACGAGTCTTGTGATACGTATGATTTAAACACATGTTTATCGTACAATATTTGCGGTGTATCCGAATGCACTTGCCGAGTTTGAGAGGAAATGCCTTGGGTTATGATAGACTTATCTCTTGCATTAGGAGCTCAAGAGTAAAGGCAAGAGCATATCGAGCGACTCCATGGCTGCGGAGGGAGTCGAGCCGAGCATAGCGCCGTGTAGCATTAGTGTCTTGACACCTTTTGTCTTATTAGAGACTTGAGTGAACAACCGACTTGTAGACATGGCCACAGGTCACCCGGCCCGGTCAAACCCGTTGATCACGGGTCCGAGCCCGGCACGGATTTCAAACGGGCCGGTCAAGGGTCATGTTTTTTCGACCTTGACTCGGCGGGCCGAGCCGGGTCCGTGTCGGCACGGAAAAATACATTGCTTTTGAATTTATTTTTCTATTTTTTTATTTTTTTTATGTGGCAGGGTCCAAACCCGGGTAGGGCCCGGTCCGGCCCGCCGGGTCATGGACCCGGCACGACCTAGGCCCGTGCCGGTTTAGGGTCGTCGAAACCCAACCGGTGGCCCAGAGGGCCGGGCCGGGTCGTGACCCGGCTGGTTTTTGGCCATGTCTACCACTTGTTGTTGCCTTCATAGACCGTTCATATACGAGTGATATGGCTTTCCATTGCGCTTCTGATGCCGATTTTCTGTCGTTTGTACTCCAGTTTTGATTTATAAATTTACATTTACCGATCGAAAAAACAACGCGTCTCAAGCCAAACAAACACACTGATACCGATCTACATGGGATACTCCACATTTGTGAACATCGGCAAAAGATCCCGTTGTCGAATGTTGTTAAAATGCCGATAGAAAAACCGTCTACTTTTGCGACAACTTTAGCTATTAAACGAATAGTTTGTAGTTTCAAAGTTTGGAAATGTTGGTCCAGTTACTAATGTACAGTGTACTAAAAACCGAGAGTTGCGCTACATTGTGCAAACATAAAGAGAATCAACACATTATAACACATTAGCTGAGAAAAAAACTTTAGAAAACAGATTTTTCGTGCTCGATCAGTCGTCGGTGTTCTTTAGTCGGGGAGTAATAATAGAAGTATCGAACGATGGTACACTTTGTCATTTCAGGTTAGGAAACTATGCCCTTAGTGCCTTTGTTTCGTCTCGATAGAATCCAAGAACTAAAAACAGCCTCGCAATGGAAAAAACGAAAAGGACAAACACACTTCAACACACCACTTCTTTAACTTCTTGGAGATCTGCTCTTAACACGATTCGTTTGAGTGGACCATGCATGTGTTTGTCTCGACAGAGACCCTAGTTATAAATATAATTAGCACGCTAATCCTGGCTCTCGAGTGGCTCGATAGCTTAAAAAGCCTTTTTTTTTTCAGTGGAGTTTCATTCTTCGTAAGGACAAATAAGCCAAGAATCTATAGCCGAAAACCATGGCTGCTAAAACTCCGACTTCCTTGTACCCACTGTCGATTTTAACCCCATTTACCGTGTGGCTTATGTGTTCGTACTGAACTTTGAGGAGAAGTTTGTACGTGTGGTAGTTGAAGGAGAGGTAACGGAGCCACGATACGAAAACCGGGACATTCTGCAAAAAAAAAAAAAAAATGTGGATATTATTATTTCTTAGTACATATAGTTTTTGCGAAAATAAAGATTCGAACTTTACCTTCACGAAAAAGCCCCCGGAAAGCATGAACGTCATTACCGTGACCGATGCAAGCGTAGTCGCACGTTTCAAATCCATTAGCGTAGCGCCAATCGCTAGCCCTAAACCCTGTCGTAATGCATGCATTTCCTCAATAAGTTTGTTCCATTTTTCGAAATAAAATAAAAAAAATCGATGATGTCAGAAAATGGGAGGCAGGACCCACTTGTGCGGCTATAATGCAGAGGAAAACCGTAACTATAGTGAGGAAAAATGAGCCGACATCCATTCTAAGGCCCGCCATGAAATACACGACGAGAAGAAATAGAACAGGAAGTATGAGGTCGAGTGGGAGGTCACTCGTTGTCCGTGCCATGAAATACGAGCTCAATCTGTACATATCGGCCGCGCGTTCCTTGCACAGCATAGCCTTCTCTTGCGGGAAAGTGAAGATGGCCGTGAAAACCGGGAAAAATCCCCAGAAAACAGCTATGAAGAAGAGTAAACCCGCCTGCGAAATAAGTCCAAAGCTTAAACTATCTCTCTCTTTTTTTAAAAAAAAAAAAAAATCGAGATTTTTCTGGTTTTTTTGTTTTTCTTTGTTTGGTTACCTGATCCTGCAATTCGTTCGGGTTGTTACTGCCCGATTGCCACCACAAGAGTCCTAAAATAGTTGCGGTGGCAAGAACCTGAGTGATCCTAAGCCAGCTGAAATAGTCATGTCGTCTTTCTTTGAGGCCTCTCCAGAAAAGTATTGAGTACTGTTCACACCAGCTTGCACCCCATTCTCTTTTGCTCGAGCAAACTTTCGACTTAATTTCTTCGTCGATGGTCAGCGTGTTTCTGAGTTTCTTCTTCTCATTTTCGGCTACACGCGTCTCGTAGGCCTCCACGAGATACTGCATTGAAAAATGGTCACATAAAATCGGGTAATCTTGTGAAAATCGTAAATCAGTGTTCCCTAGTGAATAGTGAAAACAGGGGTCCTCTGTTGTGGATGCAAATTTCAAGTGGCTGTTGCTGTTGGTATCTTTTATTTCGAATGAAAGCTCGATTTTTTCTGTATCAAGGCTCGATTCTAGGGAGGTTTTCGCTATTTTTCATATTTTGGGGTGCTAAAAGGAAGCTCGACTTTTTCCGTATCAAGGCTCGATCCTAGGGAGATTTTCGCAGTTTTTGTTTTTCGAGGGCGTTAAGTTATATCATTTTTGCTAATCGTACTTCATTTCGAAAAAAAGTTCGACTTTTTCCCTATCAATGCTCGATCCTAGGAAGATTTTTACAGTTTTTGTTTTTCGGGGGGTGCTAAATTACATCCTTTTTTTTTTACCTCTTGAACGAGTGAAGGAGCCGGTTTTCCACTCTTGGTCTCGTCCCTGCAGTTTCCCATCTGAACTTTATCCTCTAACTCGGATGGGACAGAAATGTCGGTCACGTTTCCGTTAGCGAGGTCGAGCATGAACTCGGCCGGATTCATTGCTATAAGCGGCGAACAACCTATTGACGAGAAATAGATCATTGCCTCGGATGCTTTCCCGAAATAGAGAAGACTGCCCTTTCCGAGAAGGATCAGCTTGTCGAATTTCAAGAAGAGTCTACTCGATGGCTGGTGGATTGTCGTGATCACCGTTTTCCCCACCTTTTTTCGTGCACAACAAAAATTAGTGAAAAAAACAGATAATGTTTTGTTTATATGAATAGATCAAAATCAAGCATTGTGCGACTATTTGATCAAGTTACCTCGGCTATATCATGTAGCGTGTCGACTATCCTCAATGCAGTTGTGGAATCAAGACCCGACGTCGGTTCGTCTAGGAATAATAGCGACGGATTGATGATAATCTCGTTCCCGATACACACACGCTTTCGCTCTCCACCCGAAACCCCACGCACGAACGAGCCGCCTATCATGGTATCTTGGCAGCTGGTTGAAAAAACATATTCCAAGAATGTAATAATATTGCTAAATAACCTTATCATTTTTACAAAAGATGAAATATAGTAATTTTGCTATGTGAAATGACACAATTACCCTTACTACGGCCATAATTGGTTAATGGGTCTATATTCTTACATTTTCTTGTTTGTGTAAGAGAGAAACTTTAGTAAATACCTCTCAAGTCCGAGCTCGTATATCACGTCCATGGCTCGTTGATCTTTTTCCTCTTTCGTTAGTGTTTTCGGAAGCCTCAGTCGAGCCGCATAAGTTAGAGTCTCCTTCACCGTGAGGTGAGGAAACAGAATATCGTCTTGCGTAACGAATCCTATCCTGCCATGTGTCTCCATGTCATCATTTGCTTTCTGTTTATTTTATTTTTTTCACATTCATGCTAATGAAATTTAAAGTTTGAGATATTTGTAGATTCTTACTTGCTTTTAAGAGACTTGGAATACGGTTGATCGTTGTAAGTGATCGAGCCACCGAAAGCTGGTTCGCTTACTCTGCCTCCCAAAAGACTCAGCAGCGTCGTTTTTCCGCATCCCGATGGGCCCATTAAGGCCAAAACCTCACCCGGGTCAACCAAACCCGAAATCCCGTTTAGAATGTCTCGCTCAACGGTTGAAGTCACGCTTTTTAGGACCACCTTGTACGTTATGTCCGTGAACTGCACGTTACACGATAAAAAATAAACGAGTCGTTCAGACGAACTACGCTCGGGTTTTTGCAAAGCTAAAACACAGAGTTTAAGACAAAAGATGGCTAATTGCTGTTTATTTTTGTTTGTTCATATGTTTTTTTGTTTGGTTTATGTTGTTGTGTTTGGAAGGGAAAAGTCTTGTATAAAATTAACGTGTGAAAAATTCTGTACAAAAGATGGTTCATTGAAGCTATAGTTGCAATTGAGAGCTCTACCTACTGAAAAAAAAACTTGGCATCGCATTTTCATCATATCAATATTCGGCTCGTGTTGTGAAAACGGGATACCGATCGATAGAGCTGTAAACGAAACGAAACGTATGTGAATTTAAAGCTCGCCCGTTTATTAATCGAGCCAAGCTCGAGCAAACAAAAAAAA